AATCCACGGCGACTCCTGGCCCTTGTACGAACACGGCGGGCTACATCGCCGACGCCGAGATCCGCGACATTGTCTCCGGCACGGACTCGAACAGCGGCAAGCGCGCCGCCTCCAGCCGCATCAACCAAAACTTCTACGACAAGGACAGTGACAGCCAGATCACCGTGTATGACGGCAACCAGTGGGTGGCGTATATGACACCGGACATTCTGGCCTCGCGTCAAACCCTCTACTCTGGGCTGGGCCTTGGCGGCACGACGAACTGGGCCACCGATCTGGAGACGTACAACGAGGTGCCCGGCGACATGCCGACGTGGGACGAGTTCCTCCTGAACGTCAAGGCCGGCACCAACCCGCTGTCGCTAGCGGCAGATCCCGACAGCCTCACGGGCAACTGGACGAAGCTGACCTGCACCAACGTTGCTGTGTACAGCACGCTAAACATGACGTCAGAAGAGCGGTGGAACGAGCTGGACGGACCGGACGCCTGGGCCGATGTAATCGACCATTGGAAGAAGGTGGACAGGGCGAAGGGAGGTGAAACCTACCTGAGCCGGTCCATCAGCTCGTATATCAATGGGCCTGAGTTGACAAACTGCGGCGTGCTCGGCCGGACCTCCAACTGCGATAGCATCTTACTGTGCAATGACATCTACCCCCCGTCGGGCCCAGTTGCTTACGAGCTGTGGAACTCGATAGCGTATTTGCACGAGATCTACGGCACCTTCTACGATGCGCTCGTGGCTGCGGCGGCGCTGTCGTTCGACCCGTCCTACGGGGAGTTCGAGAACACCTTTGCGCCGGTGAAGCCGGCTGACGACATGTGGATCAGCATTCTGCTGGACGTTGCCAACCTGGTGGGCACGATTGCCGTGTCGAGTTTCTTCAACACCATCCTCAAGGGCCTTCCGTTCTTCAAGGCCAACGGCGTGCAGTACGACAACTACAAGGATTCAGCCAAGGCCCTCGTCAGCTTCGCCGTCGGTATCACTGGCGACTATGTCACGGGCAACGAAGGCGACTGGACGGCCGGGTCGCAGACCTCCTTCAGCGCCTACCTCGGCCAAGTGGTCAGCATTTGGGCCAACTCGACTGAGAACCAGGTCGCGGCCCTCTACAGCGGCTCAGATGACACGCTCGCCCTCTTGACGACCCTTATTGCCAAGGGCCAGATGATTGAGGGTGACAACGGCTCCGGCACCCGCGACGGCTCCATGCCGGACGTTGGTACGTCCAACGAGACCACGGGAGCGATCCGGTCCAGCATCTCGCACGGCTTCTACGGCTATGCCATCCCGGCTGTGTGGTCCGCGGCCGGCAAGGGAGTGTTCGTGCTCGACACGGGCGCCGACTGCAGCAACCTCAACGTCGTATCCCAGTACGTCGATGACAGCATCCAGAAGCAGGCAATGGGCTGCATCGACAACCACTTGTACTTCCTCGTGTACCCAGACGGCCCCAGTAGCGATTCGTGCCCGGCCGATGGCTCGTGTTACGACAATTCCTTCTCGCTACCCGACGGCGTTGACCAGATGGACGGCACCAAGTGGGGCGGCGTCACTGTCAATGACCTCATCCAGGGCTCCGTCAACACGTTTAAGGCCAATGGTAACAAGAACGGCGGCAAGACCGCCAGCCTGGGTGACGACACCACGCTGAACAACCTCTACGACCAGGACATCACCACTGCGGGTTACATCCGCCTGCCCGTGTGCAGCGGCGACACGGCGTTCTGGAACTGGGAAGAATACAGCGACCGCACACTGGAATCGTGGCCTTGCTACGTGCCGCCGCCAAAGGACGATTGTCAGGCGTCCAGCTTCATCGACCAGACCAGCGGCGCATCGCCCAGCGTTAGCGACTGCATGCAGATCGTCAACAACATTATAAACACCGACGGCGAGTGGACCACGCAGGTGGTCGGCAAGCGCCAACGCGCTTTGGTGTCGTACGGTGGCTGCAAGTTCGGCGTGCAGGCCACGAACACCCATGGTAACGTCAACTTCAAGGTGGCCGCCTCGGATATTGTCGACATTATCCAGGACTCGATCAAGCAGTTTGGCGGCAGCGGCCAGGTCGGTGCAAAGGGCTACATGGACTGCAAGGGTAACATCAACTCGCAGGACATTGAGTGGGGTCTCTACTGAATGGTATGTGAGAGGCACGGAGGAAGAAGGGGAGGGGGTTTAGTTATGTTTACGACAATTCTCTTGTCTGGAGTGGGGGAATGTTTGTTTTTTTATATTTGTGGAGGTTTCATCTCTTTCACTCTCTCCTTTTCCGTTGTATTAACCCCTCTTCTTTAATTCTGTTTTTGTCCCCTCGCACTCTTTTGGTTTTTATTTTGTATTATCTAAATACCAGACTTTTTCGCAGATCAAGATAACGCAACTAGGTTTATATGCATCTAGCCAGTGAACAAAGGCAAACATGCTCGAGAAGACGAAGCTGAAGCGGTTCGTGATAGTGGAGATGTTGCGGACCAGGTCGTGGCACTGGCAGCACAGAACCAAGGGATGACGGTCGTGAGTGTGGCTATGGACGCCGGTATGTGGCTGTGAGAGAAAATTCACATGCCTTGAGAGCTGCGAGAAAGAGACGACAATAAACCCGATTAGCATGTTAATCCGCGACACGCCGGTGTTCTTTTTCCCACCATTGTGCCAAGAATCTTGGCAGTGCGCGATCTCCCATGGATCTGGTTTGTGGCCGATCGCTTCAACATACGAGTAGGCTGTGGTCTCCGCTTATTGTCCCGTTTGCCACCAGCCCCTGCAGCTGAAGCGTTGAAACATGAAACAAAGCCAGCGTCTTACAGCAAAAAGCGCCACCAAGTTAGCCATTTGCCAGCAAGTTACGAGAATACGTACGGCGTCAATGGACTGTGTAGCTGCCGCCGCCAGTGTCTTTTTCTTCGCTTGTCCCTTTTGTCCCCTTCCGTCTCCACTGACGAATGCAGGGGGAAATGTTTAGCGTTCCTTAACGGGCTGGTACCAACGAACACTGGCGTATTGCATCCCTGACGGTGCCCCTTTTGGTCCTCCTTCCTTGGCTAGACAGCCTCCGACTGACCCTCATCCCTTTCACAGGGAAACGGCAAACAAACCCACACGACGCACGAGGATGGTCGTCCGCGCTTTAAACTTTTGCCGTGCAGACAGCTACAGCGTGGAATTCGAGTAGTTGCAGGGAGGATGGCAGGGATGTCGCACCTTCTTTTATACTTTTCTTTCTACTTATTGTTGTATTTCGTTTTTTTTTCTTTCGATTCTGTCTGCTCGCTCCACACGGGATGCGAGGGAAGGATAAAACCAGCGTCCTCGCTGCTTCTCGTGCGAGCAAGCACAAAGCAAGCCCTTTTGTCTTCATCCCCGTTTGTCGTTCTTTTCGCCGTGCAGAGTCTGCCACCACCGTGTTTGAATGTCCTCTGGCTGGTCCAAGCGTTCTTCATTCTTTCCTTTGTAGAGTCGTTTTTCTGTCTCCGTTCCCTCATATAGCATAGACCATTCGCGGACGTTCCCGCGGAGTTTTCAACAATGTTCTCAACACTCTCCCTTTTCGTGGCCTCTTTGGCCGTGCAGGTCGCGGCCCTGCCCAGTGCCAATCGCACGGGCGTCCGCTATGTCGGTGCCAACATTGCCGGATTTGACTTTGGCATCACGATACAGGGCGTCCAGACTCTTTCCTCCATGCAACCTCCTCTTCTCAACGTCTCTGGCATCGACGGTGCCGGTCAGATGCACCATTTTGTCCGAAACGACGGCTTCAACATCTTCCGCCTGCCGGTCGGCTGGCAGTACCTCGTTAACAGCACTCCTGGTGGCAAGGTCGATGCGGCTAATTTTGCCGAGTATAACACCCTCGTGCAGTCGTGCCTCAACACCACTGCCCACTGCATTGTCGACTTGCACAACTACGCACGCTGGGAGGGCCAAATCATTGGCCAGGGTGGCCCGTCCAACGAGCAATTTGCCAGCTTGTGGTCTCAACTTGCGACGAAGTATGCCAACAACAGCCGTGTCCTGTTTGGCATCATGAACGAGCCGCACGATCTGGATGTTTCCGCCTGGGTCGACACCGTCCAGGCCGTCGTCACCGCCATCCGCAAGGTGGCCCCGAAACAGACCATTCTTTTGCCGGGCAGCAAGTACGTTCTACTATTGTCTACCTCGCATAGTGTGTAAATTTAAAGTCCACTAACAGCAAATGTAGCTTCACAAGTGCTGGCGCCATGGCTGGTGTTGCTGGTCCGCTTCTTCTTGGCGTGAAGAACCCCGACAACTCCACCAGTGGCCTCGTTTTTGACGTGCACCAGTATCTGGATTACGACTACTCTGGAACACACACCACCTGCGTCACAAATGCCATCTCTTCGTTCCAGCCACTGGCCACGTGGCTGCGGGCAAATGGCCGTCAAGCATTTACCACTGAGACTGGTGGCGGCAACACCCCATCCTGCGTTCAATACGTGTGCGAGCTGATGAAGTTCCTGAACACAAATAGCGATGTCTTTTTAGGCACCGTGGCCTGGGCAGCAGGCTCGTTTGACCCGTCTACGTACGAGTTGAGTGTCGTGCCCACTCGGACGGGCTTGACCTGGACCGACAGCGATCTGGTGACTTCGTGCCTGAAGCGGTAGTTGGATGCAGGAATCTGTTTGCACTGCACTGTACATGTACATATTTCTTTCATTTTGACTTTTTCAACCCTCTTTTTTTCTTTCACTCATTAGACTTTTTTGCCTCGATTTTTTTTTGTCGGTATTGGCACCAATGTCTTGCTACGGCTTTTCTTCCGTCTTCATCTTCATCATGCAATAGAATTTTCTTAAGCTCTGCCTGCCAATTGTTGTTCTTCACATTCGTTCTATTATGGCTTATACTTTCCAGGACCTGTCACGCCTGGTTTTGTTAAGAACGATGTAATTTCCTAATCTGCCTTTGGTTGTCGGAACTCCGGATGAGCAGATAGCGCGATGCAGACAACACTGGCAAATGGACATGCTGCCCGTTGCTGGCACCCAAACTCCCAATCGCAACGCCAACGCACCGACGACATGGCTTCTCACGCTGCTCATATTTGGTGTCAGAGGTCACGTGGCCGTCGTCACGGGTGGCGGCAGTGGATTGAGGTTTATGATTTGCGAGGTACATTTTGACTGTGTTTCCTGTACCGTTTTATTCTGCTGGTTGTTGGATTACCGACTGTTGTTCAACGAAAATCGGGCTCTCGTGAAAAATGGTGCAAAGGTCTGTGTAGTGGCATTATCAACCAAACTTATCGATGGCAGTGTGCCCGAAAAGAACGGATTGGCCGGCACGAGCGACGCCGGATCGGCGACAAAGCATGCATGGAATGTATCGAGCAAAGAAGTAGTCGCCGAGCTATCTGCGTATGTGGCCACACGTGAGGACCGAGTCGACCTCTTGGTCTCCAATGACGACATACTACGCGATCCACCGATTAAACGCGACGTACTGACGCCGCCGTTGGTCGAGCTGCAAACCAGCATGTGACCGACGCATCACTCGGACTGGGCATCGTCATTCGCTATGAACACAACTGCGCATTATTTTCTGTCAGTGGCCCTTTTGTCACAGCAAGCCAAAAATTTTCAGGATCAAGGCGCACCGGTCGAGGCAACACCATCATCACAAGGTCGTGCGCCAGCATGCACAATGTGACCAATGTCGATCTGACGGGCTACGCGGCCAGCACAGCTGCCACGGACCACCCAGCGTGGCTTCTGGCGGCCAAGTTTTCACGCATTTACGGCCGTGTCAACGGTATCAATCCCGGGTGTAAAGTTTGGCACGTCGGTCGTCTCAGATGTCGAAACGACATTCATTAATATTCCAGTCGTCCGGAGCAAAAAGAATCCTTTTGGCGCAGACGGCAATATGTTCAGCAGCCAATTTGACAAGATGTCTGCAAAGCGCGCCGGTGAAGAGGACGTCATTGCCGGTGATGTGCTCTATCTGGCCAGTTGGGCCGGCTCGTACATTGACGGAATCAATTTGTGTATTGATGGCGGTCGTATTAGCTAGCCAATAGACGGGAGTAAGATTGTCGTGGGCGAGATCGGAGGTGGGGGGAAGGGATGGTCCGATAACGACATATATTTCGACATCTTTACACCGTGGCTTGTAGCTCATACTTGGCAATACCGTAGACAGCGTCTCCAACCACCTCGAATTACACAATAATGTCCATTGTCGTCATTCCCGGGGCCCCTCTGTATGTTGTTTTGATCTGCCCATAAAACAACCGTTTTATAATCTCGCCAGCTCACATGTATTAGGCCCGAGCTATCAGACAGCGACCTGGACGGCCTCCTGGCTGCTCTGAATATCCGCAATGTCTCGCCCATAGACAAAGCGGCGTACAAGCCCGTGCTGCAATCGTTCATGGCAGTGATGAACAAGGTCGGTGCAGAATCGGACTACACCCCACCGGCATTGGTGCCGGAGCCGTCATCGGCAGACCACAGCTTTCGAGCGCCGACGCTTGCCGAGAACCCAATGAATGCGTGGAGTCATGTATTTAATACGCCACTCACCGAAACATCGCCATCGTCTTTGGCGTCTGGCCTGCTGCAAGGCCGTGTCTTCGCAGTTAAGGACAATATCTCGGTTGCGGGCTTGCCAACGACCATCGGCCTATCGCCACAGCTCTTTGCAGGTGGCCAGTACCAGCCCGCCGATATCAGCGCCACCGTAGTGTCGCGTATCCTGGCGGCCGGGGGTGTGATTCGAGGAACGTCCACGTGCGAGGGCTGGTGTGCATCCCCGTTATCGCATACGTCCTTTTCTGGTCACGTCCACAACCCGTGGCTCCACGGACACACTTCGGGAGGCAGCAGCAGCGGGTCGGCCGCATTGGTTGCCGCCCATCATATGAAAAGAATATTTCCCGTCGACGCAGCGTTGCAAGAGCCTACGGGAGCTGTCCTCACGGCTGAAATTGCCCTCGGAAGCGACCAGGCCGGGTCGGTGCGTATTCCTTCAAGCTACTGCGGCATATATGGTCTCAAGCCGACATTTGGCCTTGTGCCGTACACAGGAGCTGCTGCCATGTCGCCCATGATAGATCACCTCGGCCCCATGGCAGCATCTCTCGAGGACGTCGCGGCGGTGCTAGAGACCATTGCAGGGTACGACGGTCTGGACCCTCGCATGTCTCCTGAGTCACCACTGCGGGTCAACGTGATGCCGTACGCGGCCATCTTGGCAGACTTCCGCAGCAGAAATGTGACCGAGCTTGGCACTTGGAAGATCGGACTGCTCCGTGAAGGATTCGAAATGACGGGAGTGGCAGACGCCGTTCGTGATACGGTGATAACCGCTGCTGAGAAGTATTTTGAGGCTGCAGGAGCACAGGTTATTCACGTCTCTGTCCCTGGCCATGCCGACGGTGCCGTTCTGTGGAATGCTTCAACACGACCGTCAATGGCTACGTGGTTACTTCAAGGCCGCGGATCTGGCCACCTTACATATGTGCCACAGCACATTCAGCCTGTGACTGGTCAGCTACCGTTGCCTGAAGGAGACGCTGGGCTGCAAACAGCATCGGTTCTGAACAAGCACACCCCTGCTGCGGTCAATATTCTGCTTAGCCAGCAAGTGACCAACTCGCTTCTGACACCCGGCCTCGAAGCAAAGGCGCACCGGCGAGTATTGGGTCTTCGTGCTGAGTATGATGCCGCGCTGGATGAGGTCGATGTTCTCATCACGCCCTGTGCACCCAATGTTGCCCGTCCACTGCCCTCCGCTTCGGCATCTGTGGCTGACAAGCTCGCATATGCCATTGGCACAACCAACAATACAGCGCCCTTCAATGCAACCGGCCATCCGGCTATGAACGTGCCCTGTGGCTTCTTGCCGTCTCCTGAGCGACCAGATGCCCTATTGCCGGTGGGAATGCAAGTTATTGGGAAGCGCTTCGAAGACGATAAGGTTATCCTGGCTGCGGCTTTGTTCGAGCGCGGAAAACACATTGTCAGTTTGGGGGATATTCACCAACAGTGAAGCTGGCAAGTGGGTGCGTTTTGGAAGGTTATTAAATCAGCACGTATATTTTATCTAAAGAATACTGGCCGGACTAATTGTGAGATAAGTGACACTGAAATTATTATTTAAAGTCAGACATTAAATTCTTAAAAAAGAGAGAACCTCATTGTTCATCCATTGGGTGTCAACTATTGACACCAGAGCCTGCCAAGTGACCCCAAATTGGCGGAACAATCTGCCAGTGGGATCATGGTCGCCTCTCGCCAGGAGACGACAACTATGATACGATGGTCTTTCAGCGCCGTTGGCAAAGGTGTAAGTGTTCTGCAGCTTTCTTCCGGACGGGTTCAGCAAGGTGTATGCTACTGAGACCGAGGGCAAGACAAACAAATAATTTCGTTTTACTTGTTCCTGGTGGCGTCATACAATATACAGCTTCAGGAAATCTGCTACTCTTAAATTTCTCGCACATCCATAGATGGTTCTGTTACAGTTTATTTCCCGGTGGGTTCTGAGACGTCAATAACCTGGACTGGTTCAGAAAAGGCGAATAATAACAACAAATCTGTTACTCTGCTCATTTGAGTCGTTACGTTATATGATATGTATATGCATCATCATCATTATTATTATTTTTTCATTTCGGTTTTCTCCAAACAAGCATATGCTACTTTGACCCATTTACCCACGGCTTGACTACGCTTATACAGCATTGAATAGTTAGAAATACTTCTAGTCGATTATGCTGGAAGAGATTGAATATTAAAATTTGCCAAAATAAAAAATAGACGCCAGTAGTACTCCGATACGGGAATAGGAACAATATGAAACTCTTCTTGGAGGGGACGAAGCAACCCTAGGGAAACATGTAACCATGCACACCACAAAGAACAAAAAAACGCCGTACAATGCCATTACTCTCAACCACCTTAGCCCGCAGGCCTCAGTAATACTCTGGTAAACTGCCAAAGCTCGGCGCGGAGCCGCCACAGTTAAAGGAGCGCTTGTATGCGACCTGGGGCATGAAACCACCCTGCAGGCCAGCCTGGTAGCTCCAGAGCGGTGCGTTCTCCGTCTTCCAGGTCCAGTAAAACCAGCCCCAGGCAGTCTCATAGGCAGACATCTGGGCCTGGGCAAAGGTCAGAAGGAACGTCTTGTAGTCGTCCGAGTAGCTGGACACCGGCTGGTTGGCCATGGTGCAGCTGCACTGGCTGTTTTCGGTCGGGCAGGCAGGCGTGGCCTTGCCGGAGAAGTTGCCAGTCCACCGGGCACCGTTGCCGACGCCGTTTACCCACTGGGCGCAGTCGGTGTCGGCTTGGGACCACTCGCCGACCATCGTGGGGCCGAAGCCGGTGTCCGTGTTGATGCTGTCGGAGAGCTGGCCCACAAAGGTCGAGCAGACAAAGTCGACCTTCTTGGCGTGGTCGAAAACAATCAAGTTGGTGTCGAAGATGGTGTACTCGTGCACATCGACCACGAGGCCGTTGCCATGGCCCTGCAGGTTGCCCTGCCAAGCTGGCAGGCCGCGCAGAGCCTCGCTGAAGACCTGGGTAGCGGCCACACCGTTGTCGGACACAATCTTGACGGCCGATGCGGTCCAGTCGGAGAGCTTGCTCTGGGGAATGGTGATGCCGGGCTCGTTGACGAGGCCGTAAAAAGCAATGACGTTCTTGTAGCGGTCCTGGGCGAAGAACTTGGATAGCTGGTCGTGGATGTCGAGCGAGCGCTGTGCGTTGGTGCTGCCGTCGGTGCCGATGATCCAGTTAATGTTACCAGAGCGGCCGCTGTGGTTCCAGCCGTTCTGGCTGCCGGGCACAGCGTGCAGGTCGAGGTTGACACGCAGACCGTGCTTCCGCGCCCACTCAATGGCACGCAACAGGTACCGCCATGAGATTCCGAGCACGTACGGGTCGCCCGGGTACGTGGTGACGGCCCAGTACGAGTAGGGGATGCGGACATGGGAGAGACCAGCGGAAGCAATGTCGGCAAAATCCTGCTCGGTTATGAACGTGGCATAGTGCTTCTCGAGCGTCGCAGCGGCCTGCTCGGGGCCGAGATGAGCACAGAGCGTGTACTCGTCCGAGACACCGGCGCTGGCCGGATAGTTGAAGAGCGAAGGCGTGATGAAGGGCTCGAGAGAGAACCAACCGCCCAGGTTCACGGCACGGATGGGGTTAACGGAGTACGAGCCCCACGGCTTGTTGAGGGCCGGCACATTGGGGTTGGCCTGCTTCGAGTCGTCCCAGGTGGAGTTGAGGCCGACAATAGACAGGTTGCCTATGGTCTCGGAGGTGTAGGTGCAGTTGAAGTCAGTCATGTCGAGCCACGTCGTCGGGTCGTTGTAAGTCCCCTGCACTGAAGCGGGGATGTCCTTCTTGGTCGAGCAGGCGCCGGCCGTCGGGGAGGCGGTTGCCTTGGTTGACGTCTTGGTGCTAGTGGGTTTGGACGTCGCTTTTGCCATCGCGCTCGTTGCTGTGTGTGTCGGGTCGACACCGGCGGCCACGCTGCTGCTAGATGCAGACGCCGAGGCCGCGGCAGGCGTGTCGTTGACGGTCGCCTTGTTGTGGTTGCTCGTGTGGATGATGTTCTTGGCCACCAGGACACCAACAACGATGCCGCCTATGGCGAGAGTGGCCGCGAGTCCGCCGATGAGGAGCCACATGGGCTTCCTGCTCTTTCGTGGCACCTTCTCGCTCAGTACTGCGCCGCTCGCCGATCCATGGAGGACGCTGTGCAGCTTGTCGGTGCTGCCGCCGTATGGCGTGCTGAGCTGGTCGGTGCTACCAAACTCGCTGGGCCGAAGGCCCTCGTGCATGGAGTACGAGTTCATGTGTGCGTCGTAGGCCTGTCGAAATTTGTGCAAAGGGTAAACGAGTGACTGGAGGGACGAGCCGCTCCGAAAATGCGCAAATCAGGCCTGGTCGTGTTAGTGATGCGTCGAGACACTAGAAAACCAAAAGTCAGGGGTCGAGTTTGCCCGAGAGGCTGCGTAAACAGACAACCTAACTTACAGAAAACGCCAATCTGAACAAGGCAAACAAAGCAGACAAAGCACTGTGGTAAAGGAAAAGAACAAGAGGCGACGGAGGGCCAGCTAAGATGCCGCACATTTTACTGGGGGCGCCGACATTACATATGTCGTGGTACATTCGTACTCAGTAATGCTTCCGCACGCCATACGTTTGTCCACTGTCAACAAAAGAACAAAAAAAATACGGTTATGCTTATTTCCCTGCGCTAGTCCGCCCGAGTTTGTCTTGGCGACGCGCCTGTTCCTTCTCGTGTCGTGGTTTAATTTTAAAATAGCCACGTTCAGCAGGGACCGACAGGGACCATCTGCATCAGGCCCCTCCACTAATACGACAGGATGGACAGGTCCAAGACCGTTGACAGAGTCCATCAACTCCAGGACTCTGAGCGGTTCAGCACGGGCCTCGCGTCTACTGTTCGGAGTTCTGCTTTAAAATAATAAAAGGAGAAGGGCGAATGTGATACGGGAACGATCCAAATACGAGAGGCACCAAATTACGGATGAAAGACCCGATGCAAACGACATCGCCAAAGGAGCACTCTAACCGCAGACTGGTCTGGCGGCACCGTATTGAGCGAAGAGCAGCTTGGCCCAGGCGCCTGCTCGCACAGCAGTTTCGTATTTTGATCGTAAGGATTCGGTGCGCGCTGCTTTGGTAGAAGCTAGTGCCAATGAGACATTCCATCCTCCTCATTCCTCATTCCCATCAGGCTGTTTTCGGCGCGGCGGCATCTTGGGGCCCGCTTTTGTCACCTGAAGCAAAATACAGACGACCGTAACCAAAAGGGGCAGCACTGCGACGGCGCAGCAAACTTGAACTAGCAAATTTGTACCAGCCATACGGGAGACGAGTGAGCAACAAGGAGCAAACGAAAGACTAAAGTGACCAGGTCTCATTTCGCCAAGGCCGTCCAAGCCCCCGACTTAAATGTCAGGCGCTGGCTCTTCCCGTCCGCTCACGGCCGCTTTCTGTCTGTCCTTTGTCCTTCTAGTCAATTTGCCGACACGAGAGGCTGAGACGGGGATTTGCACCGAGACTTTCTAGGGTCCAACAGCCGACTGTGCACAAATTAACTGGCAACCTTATGGAATAATGTATGTCGACGACAAGCTCTAATTGTCCTGTGGTAGAGTAAATGCATCCTGTGAGGGCGGACACGGAAAGCGACACTTCGCACCATATGAGCTGGGCATGTCTTTCCTTGCGGCGCAGGTCAACGGTGAAGGCATTTTGCCGCTCAGCAAATACGACCAGCAAAAAGGTACTCTTCGACATCAGCCGGACAAGGTCGACCCTCGCATAATTCCCTACAAGCAGTGCTGTCTTGTTATTTGGCATTATCTTGCTCTTTCATGAGAAAGCCAGCAGTGACACACGGCTTGTCGGCGCCTTAAAGGAACCACTTTCGTCACCCGCTTCAGACTCATCCCAGCGCCGCACCGTAGAGCTTGGGTACTAGTATGTTAACCGTACAAATACGACATACAGTTGTTGCCAAATACATGACTCCAAGATACAGTTAAACTTCCTACTTTAAAGGCTGTTCCCCGTCAGTCTCGGCCCCCGTCACAGTGAGAGCAGATCACCATTTTTCACCTTAACGCCGCCGTATCCGCCTTAATATGAGCAAATCAAAACATGGCATTGCATTTAACGGCCGAATTGGCAGCCCGTGTCAGATACAACATCGTTCCCTCGATTCCCTGGCCAGAGGACAGAGCGAGCAAGATCCAAATTGAGGCTCCTAGCCACCTGACCAACGGGTGACAATATAGTTCCCAGGAGCAGCATCGGGACCATACGAGACCATTGCCACAACTGTACGATGGCGGATGGTCACACGGTCCCATCCAGACCTTTCAGGACTTCAAATAACTTGTTTGCTGTTTGGGCATGACGGTGTGTTACGAACGGTCTCAGCAAAGAAGGCATGCAGTCATCTTGGACAGGCAACCACGTATTAACGCAGCGTCGAGGCCGATGAACATATTTGTATAAAAGAAGAAAGCACATCGCGGCGTCTTGGCGCAGCCGGGACCGCCATTAAAACGGAAGTCTTCCCAAAAGATAAGTCAACCAATTCACCATCCGACCTTGCCCATGTGGACCACAAAGCCCCATATTGCCACCATGGTATACAAAACACAAAAAGAAAACATCGAGACATACAAGAAAACTTGCGGCTGGGACAAAAAACGCATGTCGCATAAAACAGAAACGAGGCATTGTTAGAAGGCCACGGCGTAGCTATACTTATCTGACACATAGGCGTCAGGCTTCGTAGGCATGACATTCTCCATCGCATCACGGACCTCGAACTCTTCCATGACGGCACCGAAACTGAATGTGTAAGCAAGGGAACAAACCAAACAGGCGCGCGCGCGCGTGTGTGTGTGTGTATTTTGTACAAGCATGGGATTGAATGCGTACCCGTAGCAGCGGACCTTACTGCTCAGCTCCTCTGTCAAGCGTTGAAAGTCCTTTTCTGTGAGTTCGGCCAGGCGCGGGTGTGCCAGCACCATCCCCCATGCCATCACGGGTGTGATTTCACCGTCGAGGTTGAGCTTGGCGCTAAGGGCCAGCAGAGTGTTCAGGTCTGCCTTGGAGAGCTCCCACGTCCGCTGGCCGGATCCGATGTCTGCACCCTTGACATTGCTGTACCCAAAAGGGATTTCGGACGTCAGTTCCGGGAACGGCTCGGGCGGGCACGTTGCCATCAGCGCATGGCCGCATGGCTCACCGCCGGCTTCGACTCCGCGTTCAAGCAACCATGGTAGGTGGTCCATGCACGGCTTTTCGAGACTGTTTTTGACCAATTGCAAAAAATAAAATCCAACGTTAGCCATACTGTCGCCGAGTCCGTTCCTTCGGTGTATTCTTGTGTTTCTCGGTGGCACATCGTCTGCTTTACCGCCATGTCCTTACCCTCCAGGAGATCGTGTAGGCATTGGGGTAAAGGGGAGGGCATAGCAATGGATGAACCTCGGGGCAGAAGCACATGGCACGCGGACCGCTCAAAAGCCAATGCCAATATACCGCCAACGTCACCACCTGCTGCAGGAAAATGCCATCAAGCGTGTTTGGTATCCTTGTGCACATGGCCGTCCTCCTTTTCTTGATGCTGAGGCTGAGAAATGTTCCGACAATGCCAATTAGAGGCGCACGTGTACAAAAACAAGTTTGTTGCTTGCTAGGGCGATTGCTAGTCTGAGAACGTGCCAGCAGGGGAAGAGGCAGAAACGGTGCGCAAGATGGCGGGTAGAGACGAGGATAGCACGGCGCAAGGCTCCAGATGAGCCATAGCCAGCCAGGAAGGAGGAGACAGTGGTAGAGCAGCCGCAGCCACCGACAGAGAGGGGGACAGATTTCCTACGTTAAGACGAAATCAATGCCGGCTTGCTCATAGTCAATGCCGGCATTCTTTCGAGGATCGCTCATGTTTCCTGTCGCGAGACCGTGGGGCGGCTGGCCGGTGCCATGCGGAGAGGTCAATCCGTGCTGGCTGTTGGCGGAACCGACTGGCGGCGGGGTAAAGGCACTCGTGTGTGAGCTGGGAGCTGCGCCATAGCTCCCTGATGCGCTCGCGGAATAGCCGACACTCGGGTTGCTTGCGGTGTCGTCAAGCAGACTGCTTCCAAGGCCCGCTGGGAGAGCAGCACCGCTGTTGCTGAGGAGTTGTCTGAGCTGGCGGTTCTCATCGGCCAGGCGGTCTTTGTCCTGCGCAATGTTGCTATAGATTTCTTTTAGTCTCAAAACCTCATCCTCGAGAGCCTTGATGTACAGCTCTTTGCGCTCGCGATGGGTTCTCTGGGCCTGGCGGTTGAGTTCCTGGCGTCGCGTCAGAGCTGGCCGACTGTCTGGCTTGGGTCCGCGACGTTTTGGCGGGTTACCATCTGGAGGAAATGGTTAGCAATCGAGGAATCTCTGGGATCCATGAAGGAGCGCCACTGCCTGCGCATCGACAAGAAAACACTCACCCCTTGTTACGCGCTTCTCGGAGATGTTTTTAAGAAAGCTGAGGCCCGTGTTGGTTGACGCGAGGCCGTCGTCCTGGAGCGATGCCATTGTCGACGTCATTATCGTGGCAGGGACGTGATGGCGAATGAACACAGCGGAGCGCAAGCGGGCACAGGGACGATAAATAGGATTGAAAGGCGTCCGTGGAACGTCCTGCGCAAGTTGGCAAGGTGGCCGGGTGCCAACAAAAGAATTCAGTCGATCACGGATTGGTTGTGGAGAGAATGAGGCAGCGACAGCGTCGACAGAGGCGGTAATGCTCTTTCGATGCAGACGCAAAAGGCGAGGGGAATCCGACGGGTGGACGATGAAACTCTTGGAAGCCTCAGACGAGCGTTACATCCAACTTTGCCGGGAAGGGGTTGACGGGAATCCAGCCAGCCACAGCAGGTAATGATGCGCAACCACAAAAGGGGGGCCGCTGTCGAACGTGGGCGGTTGGCGGGCGGAAAGGAGGGGAAGGGCTTAGTGCGCTGTGGCAGGCTACGGTGGCGATTTCGCTTGGAAAGAACACTGGCAGCTTGCAGGTGCCTCTGCAGCCTCTAGTTGATGCAAAAAGTTTCCACTTTAGCTCGCAGAAGGCACGACAGATCAAAGGAAGGAGAGCCTTGTGTGGTTTGGCGGGAGCGTTGGCGGAGCCTTCAATCGACCATGCCGTGCTGACGACGAAATTATGCTGAGACCCGTTTAGAGGGGAGTGAGATGGGGGGTGGGATGCGAATGGGAAGACAAAAGGATAACAAGCGAGAGGATCCAACAGTTCGGCTGAGCTGAGAGTGTGTTTGATGCGATTGAACAGGAGGAGGGGTGAGTGGCCGAGATGGGAGGCAGCGATGTCGTCCAAGTAACACTGACCGAATGGTATCTAGAGGTCGAATGCTGGTTGCTTTGGATATTTGGCCGACGTGATTTGTGTCCTGTCTGGCCTGTCCTGTGAGCAGAACGTGCGCTGCGATTTAAATAATCGAATGAACCGAATTGACGCAGTCTTCTTTTGCGTGGTGATGTCGCGTTTTGTGAGATGTGAGATGGGGGGCCGGGTCGTTTTATCAAGATGCTAGGCAATGAGATGATGTGCAAAGGGCTCCAGGGGAATGCACGAAGTTTTCAAAAGGGGAGGAATATCAGAAGAAGTTCATGGGGTGGCCAGATATTAAAGAAAGAGCCATTGAGTTACGACGGAAGCAAAAACGGCCAAGGATGAAAGGCGAGACGGGCAAGGAAATGGCACAGAACCCCGACTGCCTTGGGAGAGCCGTGAACCGCAAAAGCGATGAACGGCCGGAAGACGGTTGCAACGCCCCAATTTAGAGTAGAAAGTGGCGTCGTTGGTGTCCCCTCCTCTCTGTTACTCTTACAACGTTCCGTTGTGGGTTACCATGCCCTTCTCCATACCTCGTTTCTTCTGTCGTCCTGTGAATTGCCTTTGATCTCTTTGTATTTCATCCATTCTCGGTCCTCTTGCACCCGACACACGTCAACACAACGTCCTTCATCAGTCCATGCCAAAGTCATTACGTATTCTCCCTTCCTTCTAGCTTCTCTTGGAATTTGCTTTACACAGTATCTTACATTGGCGGTGTCTACCCTTCTACGTTCTGAGTATTGTCACGTACGACGAATTTCTCTTTGTATCCTTTGCCCTAGGGGGCTGAGCACCACAAGCCGCTGACATGAGGGGCATAAAAAAAAGTCGGTCCCACTTCTAATGTTCTGCACTGGGTATTTCCGTTTCCAGGGCATCTTATTCGTCGTGCCAAGATTAATAGATGGTCCGCTTTTCCTCGCCCTGCCGTGGAATCCCTGCCCACAACGAGCGAAGGTCACCTTGAACAAAAGTCGTCCGGCGATTCCCTTCAGGTCCATCCTCTTTGGTCTGCATGGCTTTCGCGTTTTTATCTTAACCGTTTCGCCACTCTTCTCAAGTGTGCAGCATGTTTTGGCGAGCAGCTCTTCCGTAACCAGGACACATCGGAATGTGCGTGCATCTGTGTAGGCAGACCGCGTATAGCGACTCCACCGCTTTCGAGACGATGCAATTGCCGTGATCCGGTGCAACGTGCAGGAAGCAAGAAGACATTCAACTGAGAGTCGGTCTCGGCGGTGTTCTCGAGAGCCTTGGCGGTGGAACTTTTAGTGGCATTTTGTGCATATTCTAGACTTGGACCGCTCCTGCTGCGCCTGTACGATGTACAATGTACAGCAGGTTTGGGTGGGTTCTTTTTCGTTGCCGTCCACCTCCTCGGTGTACCAAACTACAGCATTCGCACTAACGCTTAGCATGCTCGCCAATCATGCCTGGTTGAAGGAATACGACGACAAAAAGGGAAAGCATGATTAGACAGCACTTGTTCTCGTCGTCTCTCCTACGAAGGAATTACGGAGTGCTCCGTTCGTTTTCGCATTGGCCTTTTGCCTTTGCTCTCCACCCTTTCCCTTGTTCCTCTTTGCATGATACCTAGTGTGCTGTTCGGAGCTGGCCCTCGTGGAGTTCCGGGCCAGAATCGGTACTGGCAGTGGCCTTTGCGAGTATTTCCACCCAGTGCTTTGTGCCTCTAACCTTGTCTCTTTGGGGCCATCTTTCACGAACACTGCCTGTGAGACCGGCGGCAGTGTCGGCGAAACAAGTAGTACACCCGATTTTCTTACCCTACTCAACCGACCTGTGTTACTGATGATACGCTGGCATTCTCCTCCAGAGGTATTGTCCAAGAATATGGGTCTGCTCACTGGCAGACTGTGGGGCAAGGCGATCTAGAGCTTACTGCAAGTTTGCATTTTCATAGCTTAAATCTTGAGAGTGGCACCGCATCCAATTCCAACGTGTCGTGGTGGGCAACTGGCCATATGATGCCATGCGTTGCTGTCTGCTCTACCCGACATATGCACAGATGGCCACTTGAAAGTGCACTTTCCTGCCTGAGACCATGGGCAGAGGTCTTCTGGCCTCCTTGGTCCTGCGCTCCATGTGTTGTCCTTTCGAATAATGAACTCCCTAAAACACACTTTCGCCTTAGTAAAAAAGATAAAAAGATTGAGCTGACCGTAGCACGAAGAACGGCTTCGTCCACAAACCCGTTTTGGCCAGCTTCGCCCGCCTGAGTCGTAACGAAGTAACGGGCTATCGACTCTCCCCTCCCCGGTCACGCGGGCTATCGCTGGATGCATAAAACGTGAAACAGTCAAGGGCGCACGTAAGCGGCCTGAACGCAAGCCACCGCGGCGACACGACGCTTCTGTAGAACGTCACCTGCAGAAGCTTCAGTTGCCGTCTCTGAAGTCTGCCCTTGATCCAACGACCTCGGTCCTTTCCTCTTAATCCTGCCCTGTTCTCGCGGCAGCCAGACTCTGTACTCTGCCGTCATTCCACCCACCGCCCATATCTTCACGGATTCATCGCCCTACCATGGCCTCCCCGGTTGATCACGTTCGGGGTGTAATCATAGTCTTTCCTTGGCTTGCCTGGATCTTCACCGTGGATGTTATCCTTTCGGCGCTCCTGCCTTTCCTCCCATTCGTTCCCGACGTTTGTTACAACATCTCGTCTGCACTCGCCGAGTCCGGCTGGGCCTGGATCCAACTTATCTTCACAAATGCCAACGGGGCCGTCATCACCGACTCTGGCGATGTTCTCCCGCGCGGCGAGTCGGCCATTGTCGTAGCCAACCATGTGGGCTGGTCCGACTTTTACATGATCCAAGCCCTGGCCATGCGCGCGGGTATGCTTGGCCGCTGCCGCTACTTCGCCAAAACACAACTCAAATGGGTACCGTTCCTGGGCTGGGGCTTGTGGGCACTCGGGATGCCCCTGATCAGTCGCCGCTGGGACCGGGATCAGAAAGAGCTGGACCGAGTATTTGCGGGTATTGTTGAGCGCCGGTGGCCGACGTGGCTCGTCAGTTTTTCTGAGGCAACGCGCTACACGCCTTCCAAATACCAGGACTCCATGGCCTGGTGCACCGAGCACAACCGGCCGCAGCCGCAGCATCTGCTCTATCCACGGACCAAGGGCTTTGTCACTACTGTCAAGCACCTCCGCAAGGCACCGCAAGTCAAGGCTGTCTACGACCTCACCATTGCCTATGAAAAAGGCTCCAAGTTCCAAATTCCGCCCTCCATGTGGGAGACGCTCAGCGTCCCCCGTCTGAGTGACCGCAAGAACGGCGAAGGATACCGGTTCCACGTCCACGTTCGGCGGTTCCCCCTGGTCGAGCTGCCCACCAAAGACGACGAACTTGCTAAGTGGCTAGAAACTCGCTGGGTCGAGAAGGGTATATGGTTAGAGCAAAAGAGGCTGGAGTGGGCAGAGAGCCAGGCCGAGTTGAAATAAGAGTTTGAGCGCGTGATAAAAAGGTGGAGAGGGGAAACGTCACAGGGCCATCATAGCAGGATTTATCTTTTGGGATGAGATACAACTAATGGTCCAAGGGAATCAGGAACCCTTCGGCAATGGAACGAATCTTTATATTATTCATGTCTAGCGCTACATAACGTTCCCTCATGATTTTTCTTCAACAGGGTTTTGTTTACGGGTATCAAGTTAAATAAATGACAATGATATACCTAGTTTAACGGTTTAATCAATCAATTCATTTTCAGTTAATTCTACAAAAAACTAAAAAATTAAAGACCAAAAAAAAGAAAACCTCATACCCCAGAAAATCTCAGAGACAAGGAAAATACAAGGTACACCAGAAAGTTATTTAAATTGAGTGAATATGAGTTTGAACATAATTGAGCAACTGGTAATTACTTTTGACCGTAAGTTGACACCCACTTAAACCCCGCCCAGGTTTAGCTTTTAGCGACAAGTGTGCTATTTACGCTATTGCTTAGCGACTTTTGCTTAGCGAATTGGGCGCTGGTCGACTTTAGGCAGAGCCTCTTATCTTATCGTGCGTCACGCCGATAAAAGGACGGAAAGGTGGGGAAGGAGCTGCTAGCCAGGACCTTGGGATGCATCCTCCGACAATCAACAATCTGAGTAGCACCGACTTGCGATACACCTCTGCATTGCCGAGAAACGACACTTCCCTTACTCCAAGAAT